CTGACCACATGACATTCTGCCGCTGCACAATAGCCTACCATCCTACAGTGTTTCAGTATGGTGTGGTATGCTACACAGAACTATGAAATATGTACTGCATGTCAACATGGTATATGATGGCACTGCTTCCACAAAAAAACTGCAACATGTGCATGACACGTATGCCGCACAGCTGGCGACACAAACGGGCTGGAGCTGGAAATGCTGAGGTCCAAGGGTTCAGGCCGGCGACCGGGCTGCCAGGTATTGGGTATGGGGTTACAGAGTTTAGGACGCTTGTCGTTTCGTGGTCCTGCACAATCTGGCAAAGCATCTCCAGCAATCCTGGCAAACTACAAGACGAAACGTTCAAAAGCTGCAATGACTAACTTCCACTAAATCTTGCACATGCACATGCTTGAAAGATGTAGCAAGGTCACCCTGTCCTGAAACCAACACTTTTCCATGGGTCGCACACGCGCAATGAAGCATGGCTTTTGGAACTCCGTGAGAGGACACTGGTCCAAGCAGTTTCGTGCACAACGCAAGCACCAGGAGCGTCTTCAAAAAACAAAGGCTGCATCCCAGGCGTCGACACTGCCGGTAAGGAACTGCATCACTGCCTGGAAAATTATAACTCGACAGCGGGTGTCCCGAAAGCGTTTACAGCCATCCATTCAGCCATTCATTGCATCATCCCTCCACGTGTACATCACTCCATTATGAATGAACTCACTGATCAGTTACTTGAACTATTAGACAATGAATGAATAAATGAATGAAGGAAGGAAAGAATGTATTAATTTCACAAGGAACCTTCATTCAGTCATGAATTCATTAACTCGTTCGTTAAAACAATCATCCATTCGATCGTCCATCCATGCATCTCCCCATTCACTCAGTCTTCTATTCAGTTCATGTCATGACGTTCGTTTCTATTCCTTTCCCGTCCATTCCTTTGCATTCCTTTCCATCCCGTCTCATTTCATCTACTGTCATGTCGCCTGCGCATCCATTCATTTAATACCCTGCATTAATCTATGCATCCCTCCATCCACCCGTCGATCCACCCATCTGCGCACCGTCCGTGCAATCTCGATCCGGTTTTGGCAAGGCTCGAGTGAACCAAAGCTGCGCAGCAGAAGTTGCGAGCCGTCCGTTTTATCTGCGGTCGTGGACATGTGTCCCCCACAGACTTGCCGGATTCAGATTTTGCCAAGCAGACCATCCTCGCGCCAAGATGCGTGCGGAGCCATTTGACACACTCGGCCACCGTGGAGGAGAGGTTCAAAAGCACCGCGAGGCACATGTACGGAAATTTGCAACAGCTGATCGCGCTGACCGGAGCCTGAAGGGATTCGGAGACGGTGTCGCATGTATTGGAACTTACAAGAAATCGCGCCTGGGAGGCGCCAAGACCAGTGAGAAGGTTGCCAAATCCTGAAAGAGGCGTCGCATGTTCTGTAACTTACAAGGAGTCACTCCGCCCGGATGCCCTGCGTGGCATCTCCCTCCCGACCCTGCCCGTGCCTGAGAAGCGGCTCACTTATGATTGGGTTGATGTATTATAGTAGAGCCAACCAACCTCACGCCAACCTGACATCACCAGCATCGTCATATGCATACCACTGAGTAGCATCATCACATTAATAAACATGACCTAACCACTTCCACAGAAAAAACTCTTCGCAACGATTTCGGGAGAAAAGTCAATCAGCCGGACTACGAAGGAGCTCACGTCCAGAAGTCTACAAGCGTTCCAGCATGTGCTTGAAGTCCTCCTCAAAGCCTGAATTCCAGCTTCGTTTAGGGTTTAGGGTTTGGGGTTTAGGGTGTCACACACCCAGCCGACCTCACAAGATCATCCAAGCAGCGGGTCTTGACGGAGAGGAGGGCCTCGCGGATGCATCTGAACTGCCCTCTCCTCAAATGGGCCAAACGAACGTGGGGCTTAGAATGATCGTTTTTGATTACTGTTGCTGATGCAGCCGTTCTTGGATAAATCATTTCCAAGGACTTAGAAACAGACTTCCTTTAGAAAAGAGCTGCGAAGGCGTTCATGGCATCGTAACCTCCGGGCATAGCAAGCTCCAAGGATTGGATCATCTGCAAGTCATCCGGTTTTGACGCCTGGAAAAGGTCAGCGGGTTCAGGTATCTTGCGGCAGAAACCAAGGATCGAGGGCAGGTAACGACGTTGACAAATACAGGGGTCTTTATTAATATAGAGTTTCGGGGCATGTTATGCTATTGAAGGAACCCCCACGATAGTATAGGTAATTATTGATGCCCCGAGATTACATTCCCATCACCCCTTAGCTTGCCAGCAATGGTCATGCAAGGGTCGGCGCCAACACCGCCTTCGTTGAAGACGCCTGTAGATGTGCAAAGGCGGAAGCCCAGAAAGCTGCTGGCTTCAGTAGTCGGAGGCTTGTCTGGAGCCCCTCAAACAAGCACCATGCCCGTTGCAGTGGCAGTGCAGCCTCGTCGACGATCATGACGGTGCAGCTGCAGTTGGGACCTCGCAAGGCCTGGAAAAAGGAGGATTCCTTCCAGTCGCCACTTCCCAGCTCCTCTGGGGTTTAGGGTTGAGGGGTTTAGGTTTAAGGGTTTAATGCAGGGTTCAGGGGTAGGATTTAGGGTTTAGGGGTTTAGGATTTAGGGTTTAGGGGTTTAGGATTTAGGGTTGAGGGGTTTAGGATTTAGGGTTTAGGGCAGCTCCTCTACGACCGTCCACTGGTTGTTGCTGAAGGTGCAGATCCAGCAGCTTACAACCGTCTCGGATGAATCCTTTTTCCTGGAGTGGCAAAAAAAGGCTTCGACGAAGTGCCGAAAGCTCCTCCCCCAGTAGTGGCTTATGCATCAGGTGGTATCGCTTGGCCTTGCTAGCTCGGCATAGGACAGCTTGAAGGGCTCTGTGAGTGCAATCACCAAGTTGGAGCAGACGTAATACATCGAGCGGTCCTGCACGGACCCAGAGCCTCCAAAACCCCTTAATTAAGGAATATACCTTAAACTATATTAGGGATCCTTCTATGATTTAAGGTATATTCCTTAATTAAGGGGTTTTGGAGGCTCTGGGGAATCCGGGCCCTGCATGACTGCGAGGCGACACATGCAACTGAAGCTGAGTCGTAATAGGATTTAGGGTTTAGGGTTTAGGATTTAGGGTTTAGGGTGTAGAGTTTAGGGTTTAGGGTTTAGGATTTAGGGTTTAGGGTTTAGGATTTACGGTTTAGGGTGTAGAGTTTAGGCCTACCCCCGAACCGCCGGCCCCTGCCCACAGACTTGATAATTCACACAGTCCTGGAAGAAGGCCTTGAAAATCTCGTAGAACTCGGGTAAACGCTCGACGCACCTGACAGGGTCAAGGGCCCGAAAGCATAGAAAAGGGATGCACATGTAGAGTATGGTGGAGATCCTGGCCCCACCATAATTGAAGGAGTCTCCCTAATCAAGTAAGAGATGTTGGAGTCTCGTCTAGAAGTTGGTGTAGACGTCATGACAGCTACCCGGGCCAAACGAGGGCTCTGCTAGTCCTAAAATTCATCTGACACTCTACGGTCAATGTCGAAGCTCCTGGTCAATTCATGTCGAGCCGGATCCCGACTGTCAATAGTTCTACCTACACTGACTTGCCTCCCCTTATTCTACAACAGCTCAAGTTCCTAATTGAGGCCTCGCAAACCCACTGTTGTCACCTTCTTAAAGGATCATGGGACTTAGTAACTAGGGTCGCTTAACGTACTTATAACCATACTTGCTAAGTCCCATGATCCTCCAAGTTGATCCGAACCGGCCAACACCTCGCGAAGCGGCCTCGGACCTGGCGTTTAACCAGGTCGCCAAGGGATCATTGTGCAGGGTTGCATATGGGTGGTTGTCAAAGTTGGGGTCCCTTTTTGGGTACCCTAAATAGTAAGTGCCGTATGATAATCAGGACCCCAAAAGGGACCCTAATTTTGACAACCACCCATATGAGATCCGAGGGAATCTCATATTCCCCTCAGACCCCTGAGCATGATTCACTGCATTGGCGTGAAAACATGCCGCAGACGAGCACACTGGCTGCCTCCATGCATGGCCTTGCGTGCCACGATGGAGACTCCTTAACCCCCACAGTGGCTCTACAACCTCAACCCTGCTTGGAGGGTCATGGGACTTAGTAAGTAAGGTTATAAGTACCTTCATTGGAGTTATAAGTATAGTTACCTTACTTATAACCCTAGTTACTAAGTCCCATGATCCTCTAAGTCCTCAACCCTCAACCCCTAACTCCTGCTGGCCTGTGCAATCGGAATTTCGTATGCCAGCTGCTTGTGTAGCCGCAAACCCAGGAAGATCAGCACAGCCGCCATCGAGCCTCCAAAACCCCTGAACTAAGGAAGATACCTTAAATTATACTAGGGATCCTTAATATGAGTTAAGGTATATTCCTTAGTTAAGGGTTTTTGGAGACTCTGGGGACATCGAGACCATCCCCACCATCGCAGGCGGCCAAGGCAATTAGAATAGGGTTTTGGGGCACATTTACTATAATCAAAAAACGATGGAACCCTAAACCCCAATTCCTTCCCCTCATCTGGCCTGCGATCTGCCTCCGAAGCTAAAGCTTGCAAAGCAGGCGCACTTTTTCGGCTGAGGGGGCCAATCGAGCTATCATAAGAATCCGTATGCCAAGGCAAAGCCGTAGCATCAAAGAGAAAAGTCTCCACGATGGCCGTAGGTCATACTCCTCGTTGAGGTGGCGGGGCGGTGGTGGAAAAGACTTGAGAGGAGAAGCAGAGCACAAGCCTGTCCAGGTACACTTTCTTCAGACGACAAACTGACCTGTGCAGCGAACGGGCAGGAATGCAAGGCTCATTCCTTCTCCTCATCTGGCCTGCGATCTGCCTCCGAAGCTAAAGCTTGCAAAGCAGGCGCACTTTTTCGGCTGAGGGAGCCAATCGAGATTTCATAAGAATCCGTATGCCAAGGCAAAACCGTAGCATCAAGGAGAAAAGTCTCCACGATGGCCGTAGGTCATACTCCTCGTTGAATCCCCACCCCACCCTGCTGGCGCTGCTGGTAGATATTGTAGGCGAGGAGCACCCAAGTGACGAAGTCGAGGGGCCGGGCAGGGAGGGCAACTTGGGTAGTGGCTCCCGCAAAATTGTTGCCATCGCCTTGGTAACTGTAGGAACCATGGTCGTTTGGAGGGGCCTGAAAAGGCCGAGTCAGCTGTGCCGGGGTCGTCGTCTGCATGCCGAGCAGCAGGGTGAGCCACTCCACGATGAAGCTTTCCAGCTCCCCTGCCAAAGCCAAAGTCTGCGTGCATAGCTCCCGTAGCACGTGGCTGGCTAAGGCGAGGCATCCACGAATGAAGAGGCGAAAGAGCAACGCCAGGAGCAGAGCAACGACCCGAGGAAACAGGCACCCCAAGCAGCGCCAGTGTTTTCCAACGCCAGGTCCGTGGCCAGCAAAGCGAAGGCCGGACCACCTCCAACCAAACGGCAGTGAGCCAGTAGGCGCACTCCCGGTTGCGGTGGTAGTTCGTAGGGGTAGCGGTTGGACTGGAGCCAAAGGTCTCGAACTTGGCCCCGGAGGCGTAGCCAAAGGAGTCCACTGCTGAACCGACGTAACCAACCTCGCCAAGGCCGCCGTCAGTTTGCGCTGCAAGCTTCCCGAGCGCCACCGCGCCGCCGAGGCCCGTGAAGCTTCGTCGCCCAGGATCTCCTCCGCCGTGCGACCACCATCCACCTCCACCGCACCCAGCCGATCCGCGGCTGAGCCCACTGCCGACATGAGCGCCTCCGTCGCGCCCTTCAAATCTCCAGTAGAGGCATCACCAGTTCGGGGTGTGCTTCGTGCCAGAGGCGCTGGGCGTGAGCTAAGCTCTCCACGCGCCGGAGCCGTACGGCTGAGCCGGATAACCGCCCGTTTTGGGAGCGACTTCTCCAACCTCCGCCATGTGTCTGCACCCGGTCTTGCACTAGTCCCACGCGGTGTGGCTGCCTTGGATTCGCCAGGACGAGGTAGATGCGCCAATCTTGGCGGTATGCTACCGCCGAGCCGGTCACTGCACCCTGTGCAGCTGGAGTGGGCTCCGAGGGGCCCGGCCGGGCACGTGGAGCTTCCTGGACCGCCTTGAGCTCTGGCGGTCGGGCCCGTGGCCCGCTGCTGCACCGTCGAAGTGGAAGTAGTCGAGGAAAAAGCCTCCTCAAGAGCAGCCGCTAGCTCCCGCAAGGCTCGCGAAAGTCGAGAGGACATCCTAAAGGTCCCTGCGCACTAGAGCCAGGAGAGGGCGCCGGGGTGGTAGCTCAAGCTTGTCCGCATGCTGCAAAGCCAAATGCACGGCATCCTTGGATTCGGGCTTAGCTTCCGCATCCACTTTAATGGTCATAGCCTCGTGCAAATAGTACTTAAGAGTGTCTGGACGTGACCACCGGCCCATGTACTGTAACTTCGGCAGATTCTCGTAGACCCGAAAATGCCACGTGGCACCTCCAAAACGGAGGCTGCTGAGTGTGAAGCCTCGGTTGCCCAGGTGAAGACGGCCCAAGCCTTCGGCAAAGAGGCGGCTCCATTGTCGCCGGGCCACTCTGAACAAAATGCCATCAGGGCCTGCCGTCCACCAGCGTAGCCACCTGATCAAGCTTAGATCCTTAACCAGCACGAATTGGGTCTGCCACAGTCGCCGAGTCTGGCTTCCGGATGGTAATCACGAGGCCCCCGGCCTCCAGCTCCTCAGCACAGCCATCTGGGAAGGTGAGGTCCAAGATCCTCAGAGCCGCGGTCTCGCCCGGCCTAAGTAGGGCCTCGAAGCTGAGCCACGAAGCCAACATGGCTCCCCAATAGCACTCCCTCGCAAAGCCCTCCGTGGAGTTACCTGTGGCCAGCAAGGTAATGAGTAGCGCTCGCAAGACCGATCGGGACATGGGTATCCTGGATCTCACTGGTTGAAGCACTCGCCAGCCTCTGATAGCAGCCCAAGATCGTCTAAGCAGCGGGCCCGATAAGTGCCAGGCACGTTGGAGCCCAATCAGCCCGAGCCTGACAAAGTAGAGCTTCTCCCCCCTGCGGTATGCTTCGTCGATGCACTTCTCAAGGACCCTATCAATCGTGGGCGGCGGCGTGTCTCTGGTCAATCGACAGCCCAAGCTAATAGCCAAATCGAACAACCATTGAGCCGCCACCCGCAAACCCCGGCGGTATGCGGGAGTGAGGTTAGCATTGCGAAGGCGTCACCGTACGAGGGCATCCGCCACCGCACGGCCCAACTCCCGAATCACTTCCGTCTGAAAACGAGGGTGCCACTCACAATGCACATGGGTCCCCGGGCACTCCTTCTCAAGGGCTTGGGCCCAAGGTGCATTCGTCAGAACTCGCAGTGGTAGCTTGGGCACGGCACGGTCAGGATGCTGGCCAAAAGCGCACCCGTCTACTTTAAGTAAGCGTACACCCTCGACGTGCAAGAGGCTTTCTGTGGCAGCCAAGCCCCAGGCTCGACTGCGCCGTGGATGCACCAGGAAGAAGTAGCCACCAGCCTGCAAGACGGCCCAAGCCAGGTCCAGACAACACTGCCACAGCTCGGTCGCCTCAGCAACTCTGGGAATGGTCCCGCCGGGGTGGCCCACCTGGCCATGTGTTTTCCCACGCGGTGAAGCCTGTCCATGGTGGTGCCAGCCACAGCCAGTTGGTAAAGCCCCGGGCCACATCAATGTGCAGCTCCGCGACTCGAGTCTGCCCGGCGCCATCCTGCAACAGATCCAGAGGAGGACCCATCTCTAGGTTGAGGTCCTTGTGCGCCTGGGTGACGATCGCATCTCCCGAGCAGACCTCGCACCCACGGAGCCGCAAACTCGCCTCGATCCCGAAAGCTTGCAACCAGCCTGGAGGAGCGCGAGGAGCAGGTAGCGGCCGGAATTAACCTGGACGGGTGATCAGCAGGGTTGGCCGCCGTCTCAATCCACAGGACAGCCCCTGAGACTCCCCCCAGGATCAAGTGAGGCAGGGCGCCCCTCAGCAGGTTGTTCAGCCGGACACTCGACGATCTCCCCTTGGCAACGGCACCCACCACAACACGAGAGTCATTCAGTGCCACAATGATGCAATTCCTGTGTCCCCCACTGGCTGCAATGCGGCACATCTCCCGGCGCCAAGCACGAAGTTCCTGCAAGTTGACGTGGGAGGTCTCCCGAAAACTGTAGGACGCAACCACTCGCCAAGGCAGACACTCGCCGACCGTGCTGGCGAAAACCGAGGGCACCTTTGGAACACTGTCGCTAAGTACGCTCTCCAGCTCCCGGTCAATGCGCACGGCCTCGCCTTTAACCTCGCTCTGCCTCCAGAGCTCTTCGGCCAGGGCCTCGGGGGCCTCCGTGACCACAGCCCCACCTGAGGTCGGAGTCGCGTCTGTCGCCAGCAAGGTGCTCGACACTCGGCGGCGCATGGAAGACACAGCAAAAGGCAGATGCAGAGCACACGACCGCAACTCGTCCAGCACGTAATTCGGTAGCTTGACCCACCTGTCCGGAGGCATACCATCCACGAACTTATACATCCGATGGTGCAATGCATAAAGCTCCCGACGGTATTGGAAGATATAGGCCAAATAGCCCAGCACCTGCCGAAGAACATCTCCACTAGCCCAGCCGCCCGACACAATCTTGAACAAGAGCATCCAGACCTGCCTGCGCACATCCTTGGGCGCTCCGACCTTGCCGGCCACGCCGTCGACTTCAGCACCCCACGCCTTGAAAGCACATTGGTACCAAAACTCCTTGTGGATGGCACGCTGCAAGCCCGCCTCCTCGTACGCCTGCTCGGCCGCCGCCACCTTCTGCACGTCCTCATCCTGTGGCAAAGGGGGTGGTGGCAGGAAGCTCCCATCCAATGGCACCGGCCGACCGAACGAGCACCTCTGGCAAATCAGGAGGTCGTCTATGTACACCCCCTGCCAGGACGGGCCGCGTGGAACCGGCTCGCCATAGACCAAAGTACAATCGGCCCCGAGCAAGCCCCACCTCTGCAACACCGACTCGTGCACAGCCTGCGCTATATCACACCCGTTGACGTCGCCCATAGCTAGCACCCTGAAGCACAGCCTGTACTCCCGATGAGGTAGAAGGCCGAGTTCTCGCCGAACCTGTGCCGAAAGCCGCCGTCCCACAGCGTTGTGCTTAATCCAGTTGTCTGGGAGACGCAAAGTATAATAATAATTCCGCAAGTCATCCCCAGACCCCCTCAAGTACTCAGTGGGTTTGAGCAGCAACCTCGTGAAGCAGGCCCCGCTCGGGAGCTTGGCCCATGGCAGCTTCTCCATGGTCGCATTCTCCGGCCGCCTGTCAAAGATCAGTCTGTCTTCGGCTTCGTTCTTAGCGACCCCAAACAAACCTCCCACCAGCAGCCGCCCTTCACGATCGCGAGGAAGAGCGTCCTCCAGGAACGGGAGCGCCATGCCATGCCGAACTAGCCTGCGCACCAGCTCGTCCTCTTCGCTCGGCTCCACCCGGTGGCAGGCCACGGGCACATCACCCCAGGCCTCCTCTGCCTTCTTGAGGCCAGCCAAGTCCTGCAGAATTGCCGCACGTTCGGGCGGCAACCACTTACATGGATCCACCAACCCTGCCTTAGGAGGCAGAGCCACCCGCGAGGCGACCACCGGCAAAGCGGTCGAAACCTTTCCCTGGGCCGTCCCCGCATAACATGCACCGCCTGTACAGCGGACTTGCCTGAGAAGCTCATCTATACAACCCCTCTTTCCGGAGCACCCAAGACGACCCAGAACCAAGTCCAAAGTAGCAAATTCCTCCACCTCGCCAAGGAGCTCAAGAGCGAAAGCCCGGGCTTCCGCCGCACATCTGTAGCTCACTCGCGGCTCATATGCACTTGCGCCCTCCGCCGGACACCCCAAGGTCACGAAGTTGCCCCAGGCCACAAACGTATTCACGAAGGCCCGGGACCACCATGACAAAATCCCTGACTCATCCGACGGGAAGCTCGCTGCCACCACCACTTCGGGGAAGGGCAAGGCACATGGAAAGAGTGGTACATTGTCGCCGGACCGCTCCAGCAGGAAACTTTGGGCCCCCTCGAACCACGAAACATAAGAAATAAATCTCGAATTCCCAAAAACCAAGGCAGGATGCACAACTTGCTCGCCCACCTCCCCATGCAGAAAAACAGGGGCAGTCACTTGCGCGGGGCGGCTGCCATGCCGTCCCCGTCCTCGTCGGCTGCGCTCCCGGCCGAGTGCCCTTCGCGGACCTTCTTCTTGAGGTCGGCCAGCGCCTTCACATAAGAAGAGATGATCGCCATCTCCTGCTTCGAGCCGGCGAACTCCTTCTTGGTCAAGGGATCCTCGAGGCCCGCAAGGAGCCAGGCCGTCTGCCAGTCGCCCCCCTGCAGCACACATTGGACCTTGCTTTTCAAGTTCTGGATCACTTGTGCCGCCGCGGCGGCCGACTCCCCGTTGCGGAGCAACTCGTAGACCTCGACGTCCTGAACGGCAGCCCTCTGCAATCCCTTGAACTTGCCCCAGCTCTGGCGCTTGACCCAGTCGTTGAGGGTCCATGGCTGGCCGGCCGTCACGCCGAGCTCTCTCACAACCTCGGCCTCGAACTGCTGGATGATTCGCCTGGGCCGCTTCCTGATGCACTCGTGCAATCGGTGGAGCGTGGCCACAGCCTGCATGCCCTTCCCCAAGTGCCCAGCCTCCTCGTCGCTGTCGTCGGAGTCCGAAAAACCAAGCAGGTTGAGATCTCGACCTGCTTCCTTGCCTTTCTTCTTCCGGCGGCCCTCGCCTTTCTCCAAAGCGAGAGTCATCAACATCAAGGGCATCAGCTCGTTGGGGCTCTGGCCCTCGGCCAGACCTTTGCGAATCATTTTTCGCATGTCCAGATCTCCTCCTTCTTCCCGCGATTCCCGGGAGCTGCGGCTCTTGGCCGTCTGCCCCGGAGCTAGAACTCGACTCTTCCGGCGGCTGCGAGGGAAGTCGTCTTCTTCGTCGTCCGTCTCGTCTTCGTCTTCGTCCTCCTCGTCCTTCCAGAGCCCTTGCAGGCCCTTCAGATCCTCTTTCAAGGATCCCCGGCTCTTGCCAGCCGCCTTTGTGCTTCGAGGCATCTCCGCTCCACTGCTCTCCAGCTCTGCCCCGCCTTTTTCGACGGCCTTCCACGCGGCCTGGCAGGGCCTCAAAGGAGGCAGATCCTTGGGGCGAAGCCCGGTCCATCCCACGGGTGCTTGCTCAGTCACGGCAGCTAACGGCACACGCACAAAGGAGACCTCGTGCTCACCCTGCTTCCCTTTAGCAGTTTGCGGCAGGCCAATGGTGGCCTTCACTGAAGTCCCGATCACAGCGTCTGCGCCCGGCAGCCCGACTATCCACCCACAAAGGGAAACTGGGCCCTTCTGGCTGTCACAAATGACGTACACGATATCTTCCAGCGCCATGGCGCCGCTCTATCGCAACCCTTTAAAAGACTTGAGAGGAGAAGCAGAGCACAGGCCTGTCCAGGTACACTTTCTTCAGACGACAAACTGACCTGTGCAGCGAACGGGCAGGAATGCAAGGCTCAACCCCCAAAACCCTAGACCCAAAATAGTATAGGTTAGAAGCTGCCCCAACCCTGTAATAGTGACCATAAGGATGATATAGGATTATATTGGGGCCCTATTATATTCCTATTATATTAAGGCCCTTAAATGAGCTTACAAACCACCCATATGGACCTGCAGATTCGGACCCAGGCCCCCCTTTGGACCCTCCCTTCATGGAGACCCCTTCTCCATGGAGACATCCGGGATCTATAAGGGTACCTTTAAGGGGCCCCTTTAAGGGATCTATAGGGTTTAGGGTCTAATAGGGTTTAGGGTTTAGGGGTGATGATATAAATCCTGCATCACCTTAATGACCCTAGACTATGGTAATTATGGTATATTCCTTATTCTGGGTCATGCAGGATTTATGTCATCAACCGTCTTTCATTCGCCACTGGATTCTTGCTAAGGGACTCAATTGAAGGTACCATAAGAAGGTACCAGATTATTATCTATAGATACCTATTGTGGTAACTTCATCTGAGCTCCTTGATTATTTACTATAGATCTCTATTTTTGTAATTTACACTAAACTCCTTAACAAGAACCCAGGAGTTATCACCACCGCCTCGATTCCGAACCATCGTCTCGGCCATGGCTTCTGCGCCATCAGCGCGCTTCTTCCGAATGGAAGTGGAAGCAACGTAGGGTTTAGGGTTTAGGGTTTAGGGTCGTAGGGTCGTAGGGTTCGTAAGACATAGTCTGTCCTGTGATCTGCAGTCTGCAAGCTTGTTAGGCAAATTTGGCCTTGCATGCTTTTCACGTAGGCTGCGAGAGAAAACTGAAATCTATGCACAAAGCTCATTATCATCGATGCCCTCACGAATCTGAGTCTGTGGCTCCACATATTCTGAACCCAGTCCGATGCAAATTGCAATTGACTGCAAAATCGGGTCTGCCTCGCTCAGTCAGAATACGGGAACTCATACATGGGCGCATGAAAACGTACGAAACGACGCCTTCAGAAGGACGCCATGAGCAGCAAAACAGAAAGGACAAGCGGCACAAATCTTACGCGGCTTTGTATCGGCTTCGTGCTTACGAACAGCTGCCTCCGGCAGCATGTGCGCAACATGCAATCACTCCAACGGGAGGAGGCGGTCGCCCCGGATAGCTGGGAGTTCCGAAACCGAAGGAAAAAATTGGGGCGTCAGTAATTAGAATAGGCTTTTGGGGTAAATTATACTATAACTAAAATAAGGAACCCCAAACATAGTATAGGTAATCATTAAGGCCTCTATATTACATCTGCCCGTGCCTTTTTCACGAACCCCCAAACAATTGAATCCGCACCGAAAGAAACTGCATCACCCGGGCAACAACCCTCCGGGTCAAAATCTGAAGCGGCCAGTTGCCAGCTCAGCATCCTTCAAATAATCTGCCTGGCGTGCGGGAGTGGATGCTTTCTACAGCCCCGACGCATAGGACCGCATATTGTGGAAGGACCTGTACTTGAGGACAAAGCTCTTATCACCTCCGGCGTCCATGATACCATGCAAACTTCCTTGGGATTGAACGCCGGCATAGGCCAAGCCATCAATGGAAGCATCACTCACAATTCACAATGGTTCCTGTCTTGGCGAGAAGACATCTTCTTGTCTTTAACGTACGACGTTTGTCAGTGCGCAGATTCTTCCCTGATGCTTGACGTGGCTCAGGGCATGAAAAAGGCATACACCGGAAAATCCATGCCATCGAGGGCGTGCCGTTCCCAGCGGCATCCGACCCCCAATGGCTTCTTTGTCCGAGGGTGGACGGGTGCTTTGCGAGCGAAAGCGCCATGGGCTCCTCCAGATATTCGAATCTGGCCTTGGCCCCACCCTGCGGGGCGCCCATTGCGGAACACCTCCCTTGGTCAACCAGCGTGTGCTGTCAAGGATTACGACGAAGAGATCGGAGTCTGACATTTCCTACATCTTTAAATCCCGGGGCGCGCGTTGACAAACGACCGAAAACGGAACCCAACCGCGACACCAGGGGGGTCGCGGACCCTCCCAGGAAGTCTAAACGAATCTCGGTGATGATGCTCACTAGCACAATGACGCAAGAATGCATTCATGCAGTCAGAAACTCTCTTGGGGGACTAATCGAATCGACAACTTCGCAAAACGCTTGCAAGCCTATGCCGCACATGCTGTCAGCATGATATCCCTCCCGATCCGGCGCCTTCAAAATATGAGGTCCTTAGCGTGTGCCTTCAAAATCCTGGGTCATGATACTACTTTGCGTCGATGACCTTGGATTTCGCCTACATTTGCGTAGCCTGGTTTTGCGGCATTTATGGTTCCATAATTGGGGTCATATTATACTATTAATATACTATGTTTATACTATATGTATACTATATTTATGCTACGTTTATACTAGTTACTATATATTTTTACTATATATATATACACAACATATACATATATATATATATATATATATATGCATATATATATATATATATATATATTTATATATATATATATATATGTATATATATATATGTACATGTAACCTCTTTCTATGTATATGTATATGTATATATACTACTTGTATTATATATTATATATTATATATTATATATTATATATTATATATTATATATTATATATTATATATTATATATTATATATCAAATATTTCATATTATATATTATATATGATATATTATATATTGTATATTATATATTATATATTATATATTATATATTATACATACATATATACATAACGCTGTATATCCAAACTTTTTCTTTAGATGTATGTATGTATATATATATATATATATATATATATATATACATACTATATCTACGTATACCGTGTACTTATACTTCAAGTACTGTGTATATATTCTTTCTTTACAGTACGTATGTGCAAATTCACAATACATACATATAGATAAAGATGTATATATATATATACACATATTTACAGTATATACTATTTGCGATATACTATATACTTATACATAAACTGTTTATTATTCACGATATACTACATACTATATGCTCTTTGTATACACGGTTCAAAAACTATATATACACTAAGTATACATGTATATATGTATTCTCTCTCTCTATATATATATATATGTATATTGTATATACTTATACTATCTATTATAGACTTTATACTTTATACTAAGAACTTTGTTCTAACACTATATACTGTATTCTGTTTACTACATACTGTATACGATATACTATATGCTAAGTACTTTATACATGCATATAAGTAGTTTGGATATCTGCTGGTACTACAAGACACATCTACATGTTTGTTGTTTATAACTGGATATTCATAACAATGCAATCATACACTGTATATCTGCCAACACACTTGTATCTTGTATGTGCATATATGCGTGTGTGTTATACACGGTTTCAAAATGAACGTGAAATATATGTATAAATATATATATATATATGTACGCACATATGTGTTTTTGCATAATGTTTGTCACGATATGTATACCTCTATATGTTTATATGATCACTACGACGACAAGCACGACATGGAGTACACACATTTACGTCGTTCGGCACATTTACGCCACATTTATCTACCGCGGTATATCCAAAGATTGCAGATAGTGCATCTTTTGCATTAAGATGAGACAAGTACAGATATACATGCCTACCGAGCGTATGCTCGCGATTCCTGTAGCTATCTCATAATCATTCATAATCCATAAGCGGCGGCTGCTGACATAAAATGGAAGCTGCTTCCATAAACTAGCGCATGATTCCATCAAATGGCGGATGCTTCCCTAAATAGCTCATGCTTCCACGGTAGGAAAGCAATAATAGGTGGCGTGGACGATTTAGTAGCATTGTAAATGCCTCTAGTAAGCACTATCTCCTACGTAATTGTCCCACGACATCCTGGAGCAATTTCTCTCGCCTCGTAGGGCCGCGATATCGCCATTCGTATGGCTTCAAAGCACGAGTTTAAGGTTTTAGGTTTTCACGTTTCAGGTTGTCAGAAAAGGAAAACCAAAAACATTGATGACTGTAAAGATTGAATGCCTATGAAGAAAATGATAGTGTTCAACTAGGAGAAGTACCAGGCTTGGGCTCTGTTCTCGTTTGTACAAGGCTTTATCTTGTTGTGCCTGGGCAGGGTTTGGACGTTGTTGAGCCTGCAGGGTCTAGCTTTTCAAGGTGTTTGTACAAACTCAAAATTTAATTTCTGTTCTTATACACCCTTGCCAAGAAGCCTTTTTTCCTACCATCGGATGAGATTGCCGCGCTTGCCAGCATCAGAATCCCCGAAGCAATCGAATGGCTGATTAGATTGAACCCCACCGGGGCGAAGCCAACTCTGAGCAGCTGCCTTTCTAGGGTTGAATGCAAGTGCCCTGCGGGAATATGTTGCACTGACTAGTTGACTTGCCTAACTATAGTATATATGTGGAGGATGAACTACGGGAGTGTCCCTGAACCTGGCTTGGCCGAGTTCAAAATAGTTCACCAAATAGAACTGCACCGGCGAGACTAATGGTTGTTGTCGTCGCCATTGATCAGGACCAATGTTATCACGCTAAACCCCATCCACATGTCAGTTCTAGTATCTTCGTACAGTCTGATTCTTATATTGTCATCCACTGGTCCTAAGTCTGTGCGTATATATGTATATGTTTATACACACTTTTACATAAATACACATACATTGAAACATGAGTATGCATCTTATGTATGAGCTCGCCTTCCCACCCCAAAGATCTACCACGTTCGGGTTGGCAAAGCCCCGTTTGCACCCTTTAGCCTCCAGAGCTACCAACCCGCAAGAAACAAGTCAGGTCAGGTCCCTAAACCGCGAAGCCGTTCATCCCCTGATCCATTTTTCATTCTGCCGCTATG